CACCTGCAAATACACTGGGAAGCCCTTGTTCAGAAATTGGGTTACACATCAACCTCACCGAAGAGAAAAAATTATTACTTAAAAACAAGACCCACAATGTCTGTACTAGAAATATCAATATCGTATCTTCAGGTGCTTAAGAAAATGGATTACTAACCTAGCTATAAGAATTGCTGAAAAATTAGACTGCTTTAGTGTGCTTATCTTCAGACAGACTCATTTTTAGTGTGCTTGTACACAAAATGTCTGACTGTACCAGTCACAAAGTAACAGTAAGCAGACTAAGTGTGTACGAAATATTTGGAACTTCCTTTTGCTTTTTATTTATGGAGTACCTAGCATAAAGGTCTGGTTCACAGCCAGGTACTGAGTCACAGAATAATTCAGTAGCCAAATGAAAGAAAAGACAAGCTATAAAAGAGCAAAATATCATTACTAAATCAGAAACACTGTACTTCAGTTTTCATTTCATAGTCACATTCTGGAGATGCAAAGACCTATTTTATACAAACTTCATGCAGTACTATTTCCCTGCTGTGGATGACAGCCACTATGCGAAGCATGAACAAAAAGCTGCAAGTCTCCCAGCTAGTGCACATGTTTTAACAAAATGAAGCACTCTCAGGTTTTCATCCAAAAATCAGAAGGGGGGAACGTTTTGTGAAAAAGCAAGGATTATTTGCAAGGTAAGCAGAGGAACAAGAGTTAAAAGACTTCACAAAACTCAATACCACGTACAAAGCGTGTACATGGTACCCTGCTTGGGAGAACCAAAGCAGTTTTTGGCTTTCAACAGGCTGTAGGAGTCCCAGGAAGGAAAAATTTATCTCAAGTGCAGTTCTGATGTGTCTCTCTTATGACCTCAAAATTAGGGGATAAAGCGTCTACAAAGACTTGTGAAGTTTGAGAAGTCTACAGGAACCATCAGTTCAACTCACTCAATAGAATCACATCCTGAAATTGGAATGGGCCTGGACATAATACAGGGTGATTAATTTACATTAATAATTATGTCCAAGTTTTAGGAAGCAAATAAAATTGCAGGACAAAAAAGTCAACAACACTGTCCCTCATTTCTGTAAAATCAAAGGATTCTTCAGTGCTTTAAAGAACTTGGGTTCACCACTGTAATGAAAAGGGGACCTCACTCCAAGGTTAGTGTTGCTTCACAGTAAAATACTCTCAGGAGCACTGTGAACAACATCCAGAAAAAAAATATTTCTGCTTAGTCTTAGAAATTTATTAATGCAAATATCTTAAGATACAGGAAATCAAGACTTCTAATTTTAATGGCACGACAAAAAAAGCAGAAAGAAAACAAGGTCTGGCCCAAAAAATAACCTCTGCATAGTCACAGAGAAGTATCAACAAACCCCAAATCCTTCAACCTTTCACCTTTTTTAAAAAACAGATTTCAGCATTTAGATAGACTTGCAGTGACTTTCAGCTCCAAATCACCTCTCCACCAACTCACTACTCTTACTAGCACTTCAGATTCCAGATGGAAACAACTGCAGTCACTAGTCTAAAAACTTCCAGAATATGAAGTTTGACACATCCTCCTGTTATGGTACTCCAAGTGATTTTTAAGCCACTTTTAACATTTAATAAAAATAAACTGTCCTCACTGTGCCAGCTTCAAACACTGCAAATTAACATGGCCATGCAGTTCAGCCCTTTAATACACCAGGGTCTGGAACCACCTAGAAAACTGAGTCAAAAGATTACTCAGATTACTGTGTGCTTATTTGGAAAATTAATATAAAATACAATACTGCATGCCTGTTTTAGAGTTCTATATTGCAAGTTACCATTTTCTTATGCTACATATTTTTCTCAGTGCAAACAGTCATCCCCTATAAGGGACATACTCATCTCATACACAATAACACTGTATTGACAGCCTTACAGGAAGGTAAGTGCCCAGCAGAGAGGATAAGGAACACAAAAGGGAAAAACAGAAAAAAAAAAAAAAAGCAGTCAAATTATCAGAGATGACAAAAAAGAGAAAGCTTCCACCTGTTTTTAGAACCCAAAAGCTGTTTCTATTTTAGTGTACCTAATATGTTAATTCTCCAGTGGTTCTTTTGTATTTTAGACCCCATCAGAAGAGCTGCCTTACAGCCTGCTGTCTTTGATACCGTCAGGTAACAGATGTTGGGACTATTTCAGCTCTGCCAGCTTTATCTAGAACAATGAAACAGAGGATCTGCTAGTCTACAGCTTCAAAGCACCCACAATAACAATGCCACTCTGATTCTGGGAAAGGTACATCTGTTTTACAACCAGTCAGCCTTTTCCTCTCCACTAAAATCTTCAGCAAATATTCAACATCTGCCTCATCATGTTATTTTCATTTTCGGACAATGTTCTTCAAAGTGCTCACTATGCTGGCTTCGTGTTTGAGCTTTGTCACCATTCTAACAAGCAGCAAGTGTAATATATTTCTAATGTCACGGTCTTGTTAGTAAAATAGTGATTTTCATCCAGAAATAGTTTAGACCTAAAGAAATAATCTGGAGGAAAATCTTGCTGTGTAAAGGACACCAGTCTAGACATCATCAGTCTGGGTTTTTAAAATACCTACTCTAGGTGTTCTTCTCTTTACGTTTAATTGCAAATGACACCATTTCCTAACTACCACACTGTCAGTTTGTACCACTAGGAAAGCCTTCCATGACCAACAAGCACAGAACTGTAACACTAAAACCCTAAACATTTCATTGAAGAGGATATCTTCACTCACTAAAGTTTCTGAAAAGCATCACTGTAAATGACAAGTAAAATAGTTACAGAATACCAACAGCTATAAACAAAAAAAACCCCTACTCCCTAGTGCATTTATTCCTTATTCAGGCATCTCAAACCTGTATCAGTATGTTGGATGTCCTAATGTTCTTTACAATGCAACTGATTGTTCTGAAGTACTTGTCCACTGGTGGAACCAAACCAGTGGAATATAGTATCTTTTTTATTTTTTATTTTTATTTTTTTTTTTTTAACATAGAATAAAAGTATTATGTCAGCACTAGAGCACTAGAGGAATAACTGGTAAGAAGTTACTATCTGGCTATTCCATTTGCTTTCCTTGGAAATTCTAGGGATGTAGTTCTAAGTTTATCTAAGTTCACAGAGCTGAGAAAAGTCAGAAGAAAAAGACAATCAAGAAAAGGAAAATTACAAAATTAAACTTTCCTAGTGTGTCCTGAGTGAAAACTAGGAATGAAGAAGAGGAAAAAAATAGTTACAGAAATAAAATTTTGGCTCCTGAAGGCTTTTTTTAGTTAACATGCATTTGTCAATTTTCTTGACATAAAAATTTATTTTACCAGCTGATAATTCCTAAGCCTTTAATGGAAATCTCACAGGAACAGAAGTGGAAAACTGGTAACTAATTTTGAGAGCATTTTCCTCTCACAATGAAACACACTTATTCACAAGTGTAATAATATATACTAAATATTATATAGTATATACTTATTCATAATAAGTTACTACTGTAATAAGCCGAATTCACTCCTCATTCTACCCCTATACAAGTTAACTTTTCTTTTTAGCTCAACTGAAAAGATCATCACTAAAAAGGAAAGCTTTATGCATATTCAGTATGTTAACCATTTTGTTTTTGTTGAGTAATAAAACTATTCAGCCACTTTCAGTGCAGATCCACACAGTATTAATTATACAACTCTTTGTTATTGTGGCTATCCCTTTCCAGGCTGCCTCCTCATAACTGATCGGTTAAAACAAGGGTGCCAGGACACTTATGGAGTGGAAACAAAAGTATAAATCTTCAATCCTGAAACAAACATATGTTTAATGCAAAAAATCCCAAAGATGCAGAATAACTGCATCAGTTTCTCATTCCCAGAGAGCTAGTTCTTTGCTACCATTTAGAAAAGGCACTATTTTCACCAGAGATTAAGTGTGACAGCCCCTTCCCTGCAAGGTCTGCTGTGAACACCCTGCAGGCAATGAAGCCCAATCTTCCAAGAAGGGCTGCACCTTCCCCAGCTGTAAAGACAGGAACAAACTACCCTTGTGTGTTTAAGGCCCCACTAGCCCTTTTACTTGAAGGGCTTACAAAGGACTAGACTCTTTTGCATTATAAATTCATTACTGGTTCATAAGCCTGCAACTAATGTTTTAGGGCTACTGCAAGAAAAAACCCAACATTTTATAATTCCAGGTAAAACCCATAAAAAATGTAATAAAAATGCAGCTTTAGAAGGTGTCTTCCTAGTGTAATGTAAATATCTATTGTTTGTCAGTTTTCCATATTTGATAACCAGGCATTGGCTGAATTTATCAAATCAAATGTGATGCCAGCACCCGAGATCTAATGACACAAATGTGCATCTCCTGAACTAGCTGTGAAAAGAGAAAGCATTCTGTGAAATTTACATTCCCAAACAACTTTTAAAAAGTAATTTATCTCAAAATAAAACTGGATTCAATTACAACTCTTGGGCACATTATTAAAAATAAAACAATTGTCAGTTTTATGCTCTCTTATGAGCACACTTGGTTGACCCTTCCTCTCCTAATTCTCTCATTTACTCATACTATGAAGACTGAGAAAACCTGAACGTTTTGGTGATCTGAAACACAGTATTACCAACTGCACTGTTGAAGCAAGTGTCAGGTGTGAGCACATATGCAAAACAGACAACTTTATAAGCATTGTGAAAACCCAGCCTTTTCTATCCCATTGTGACTTTGAGATTGCATACATCTCATACGCAAGATAACTTTTGCCTTATTAAAATAAATAGCTCTGTAAGAAAAACAGTTCAGCAAAGCAGATTTTCTATAAATGTGAAACTCAAAGATACGAATATTTTCTGTTATTTCTACACGTTTATAGAACAGTTCTTAGTCTCATTTTTCCCCTCTCCCCCTCATCATCCCTTTGCTGCTTCAAAAGGTTCATCTTTTTGTCGCTCTTTCCCCATCTCCTCATCCTTTCTTTGCTGGTTCTTGGCCTTCTTGGTCCTTACCTCGCTCATTTTCCCTCTTCTCATCTTCCCTGCGCCAATTCATAGCGTCCACATTCTTTCGTCGTTCTCGCTCATCCTGTCTCCACCGCTTCTTGATATCTTTGTCCTTCACTTGCTCATTTTCTCTCCTCTTCTCATCATCCCTGTGCCATTTTATTGTTTCTGCATTTTTCTGCGGTTCCACACTTCTTTTGAGATAGTCTTGCCGCCTCCTCCTCTTTTTTAACATATCCCTTTCCCTGGCACGAGCCTGCTTTTCTTTCTGGGAAAGAAAAGCTTTACGGGGCATCATGAGCTGCTGTTGTACCTGTAATAATATTGTATCCATGGAATAATATACTATACATACACTCAGGCACCAACAACCCTCATTTGGAGATGAATACTTCAAATGCTCAGCCAAGATAATTTAGTGCTTCATCTCTTTCCTTCATAACCCTCTGCTAGCTACACATTAGATAAGGACAGGCAAGCTGCTCCGTTCAGCTCCAGGCACACCTCACTGGTACCTCTGCAGCTGGCCCACATCCAACATTGAAAAGTCACCCCCCTAGAAAATCTGGGGCCTAAGCAGAATTTCTTTCCCCTCCCTCTTAGAACTCGTCCCACAGGTTTTTCAGCCACTTGGCAAAGCTGCATCCAATTGAAGGAACAGTCTGATAGGAGAGTTGTGAAGGAAACTTGTGAATGTTCAAACCTTAGTTTTTCCTCCTGCTGGAGATCTACACTTAATGAAACTTAAGTGTGTTTATCTTCTCAGATTTACTTGAAAATGGCTGGCTTTTTTCTTGGCTAAGTGGGAGAGGGCATTAGGAGACAAGCCACAATCTGAAAAATTGTATAAGCTTTGTTCCCTCCTAAAACCTGGCCAAAAAATTTAGCTGCAACTAATGAAGTCAGTCCTGACTCATCTACTCCAACTTCCTCCAAGTATGTTATGTCTTTCTATTCACAAGAACAAAGGAAAAAAGAATGGGACTATTTACTTGGAGTTTCTGCCGGCAGCACCCAAGATGCGTGGGGCTTTTTGGTTTCCTTGTTTTGGATTTTTGTTTTGTTTTTAAAGAGGTATCAATGAAGACTACCTTTTAAGAAATATTTTACTTTTGGTCATTTCTCTGTAGTCGTCCAATACATTCACATCTCTAAATTTACTGGTGTTAATATCTGCAATTTTGAAATCATGGAAAGCAAAACAGACCACAGAAAGAATTTATAACAATATCCTTTAAATACTCTTCTGTACACATCGAGCAACATTTCAGAAATTTCAAACTGCAGTTGTGGCCCAGGTATGCAGGGTTTTTTTGTTTGGTTTTGAATTTTAGTTCAGAAGAGAGTTTTGCAGAAGTCTAATCAAAATGAAAACTGCAGAAAGGACAAAATTACTAGATTAGAATATTTAAGCAAAGCCTAAAACAAAATGAAACAAATGTACTTTTAAAATTTAGCTACCTTATGGAAAGCACTTGTTCCCAGCATGCAATACTCCATCTTTTTCCTACAGAAAAAGCAATGTTTCAAACCCTTATTCTAAAAGCCGTTCCTTTTCCCACGCCCCACACGCTTAAACCCACTACTCTAGTCCATTGCCTTTGTTAGGTATGTATTATGACCCCATGGTTTTCATTCCAATAATTCGTCCCCAAATTTCATAATATCCATACTACTACTAAAAGGGAAGGGCTGCAGTAGAATGGAACAGCATAATCAAAAACACACATGCAGTTTGTTAACAAGTTAGTGCATAAAATTCAGATTATGCTAAAAATTCCCTCATTAAAAAGTGTAGGATAGCTCTCAACTAGACTGGCTGTTTTTAAATATTAAATATTTTTCAGTAACTCTTATTAAAATCAGAAAGCACTGGGAATGCAGGATCAACATCATCAGTGCAACCCAGACACTGTAAACATTTAAAATGGTTTTAATTTTCCTATTGGCTGTGTGCCAGTACTACATTACTGTTGCTTACTAGAACAAACTTATTAACTTTTTAAAGATATGTTATCTTTATAATTTTATCAGTAACCTGGTTTTATTCCAATAACAACAGCATGAATAAAATCTGAAATAAATCTTATTTTATACAAAATTCTCCTTCCCCCTCCCTCCCCCCCCTAAGCAAGACAAGTACACAATTACCAGCATTTAAAATCTGACATTTTAAAAAAACCCTTTTGGGACTAAGTGTTTTATTTTCTTACATTTGTTTTGTTGTTGGGGACTTTTTTCCCCTTTGGCTTTCCTTTTTTATTGTTAACTACAGTATTCCTCCCTTCCCGCCCTTTACACATATCCCAGCCCACTTTGACAGACCGATTTATAGACAAATGACAGGAAATATCTTAATAAAATTCAGTTGCATTTCCAAAATTAAACATTACAATTGAGATTCAAATAAGAAATATCAAATTCCAAGGAATAACTTAAAGGGACATCCAACTTCTGCATCTTTGAACTTCCATATCACAAGTCACACGTTTCTCCCGAGTTTGTTTCAGCACAAGTGCGTATGTCAGTTTGGTCACTTATCTTGCAGTCAAAATCATCTCTCACTTTGGCCTGTTGGTTTTAATGAACCAGAAGAGGGGGAAAAATTTGAAACCAATAGACTACTCAATATGCAGTGAAGATACCAAACTGATTGAGCTCAAAGGTTCCCACATTCCAAATTTTTCTAGAGTTCAAGTTGGTGTTCCCTTAAGTTCAAAATGCCCAAGTGTCAGAATTACACAGTCAGAACTACTCTTTCAACTATATTTTTTTGTCCATACTTTGCCAAATGAAATATCTTAAGTCTTCCCAATCTATTTAGTACATATTATGAGGCATTTACCTCCAAAATTAATGGTGGTTGGGCGTCTCAGAATCATTGGACAAGTTTCATGCAAAAGCCTCCAAAAATAATTCTCCTTCCAGAATGCCCACCTCAGCGATTATATTACACCTACTGTGTGAGGCCAAAGCCTGGACATAGAAGAAGGATCATATCCTGCTGTACAAAACAAAGCATTAAAGACAAGAGATAAGAAACGTAATAAGGGCAATCTTACATTTATAACGTACATTTCACTGTGAAGGACTCCAAAGCTAATTATAAACCACATTTACGGTACCTTTACCAACACGGAGCTACTGTAGAGTGCACTCCAGCAAGTAAACAGTGCTGCTGCAGGAAGTTTTAGCAGGTTTGTGGCATAAGCAACAGATTCTGCTGAGTGATGCTACTGGAGGAATATTTTAGTGTTCAGATTCCCATTAAACTACCCAATCCAGAAATGCAGCAGGATACAGACACAGACGCTCCTATTCACAGTTCATACAACCTTTGCCTTTAGGCTTTGTGCATTTAGGACCTCAGTTTACACCTCATCTGAGCTATCAGGACCCACAGAGTAGCTGCACTCTGCATAGATGAGGTTCAGTTAGTAAAATATCTCTACATGGAAGTACTGTTGGTAAATTTGCCTAGAAGTTCCTGTACAAACACAGTCCCATCTTAAATTGCAAGACTACAGTACATCAAACAGATGACACGGCTGTCAGCCACAACCCTATGTATGGATATACTTTTCATTTGGGAAGTATTCAGATTAAATTTTTCTGTTACAGTGCTGCTAGCAGGAAGATGTGAAATAAACCCTTTTGGGTAACAGCATGTAACTGATTAAGCTTCTGCAGGAACACTGATACCTCTTTAACACACATCACTCATGGACAGAAACTCCGTCTTGAACGGACTGGAGACACAAAAAATAACATTAGGATCATAAAGTCTGGAACAAGCAAATCTAAAGCTTATAAAAAGTAAAGTTTGTTGAGTCATTTATCATTACTTATCCAAGTAATAAGGAGTTTTAGTTTTAAGATTTGTTAGATTTTAATATCTGTTGATTATTCAGACAGAACACCCACAGCTTAAAGTACAGATTGGGTTTTTTTGAGCAAGTGCACTTTCAACAGAACATACTAAAACGTTCCAAGAAATTAAGAAAGACAAAATTGTTAAAATACTTCACATTGAGGCAAAATTGAATATTGCACATGCTTTAACAAGACCGTTACCCTGTCTTCAGCAGATAAGGATGATGGGTTGTTTCATCTTGGATTCTTTTCTAACTAGTAGGTAGAATTTGTGCCATTCTATCTGCAGAAAGTACACTTCTGGATGAGGAGCAATCAGCCTCCAGAGCAGATCAGCGACAATCCATCTATCAGTCTGAAGATACTAGTCACAGGGAAGTACTTCATCCCACCCTGGGCCTCCCATAAACTGAGTATCACTTCCCTGCATTGTGTTGCTGACAATCACTAAGCATCTTGCATTTTTCTGACTTCATGTAATAAAAAATTCTTTTATTTTAGCCCTTATTTTACTAGTATTTTAAGTTGGAAGAAGTCCTGGTTTACATATAACAGGACAACACAGCAGCATATATCAGGGCTGACAACAGCTGTATGTTCCTGGACCAAATGAAACAAGACTGTTAGTTGATCTTGTGATTATTTTTTTTTTATCTGTCTATTCCAACTGCATTTTAAACAAGCTCTACTTTTAACAATTTGCCCAACTAACTGCATTTAATAGCATGGTCTACAAAGCCAGCTATGAAACAGTCTTGCAGCTGTTAGTCTAACCTTGAGTGAAATCTCTTAAAATACAAGAAAAATACCCAAGAAAATTAACCTATGGTTCCCACAGGCATTGAAAACCAGTTTCCTCATGTATGTAGACTAAACAATGCTGTGTATGATGGTGCATCATACTCTGTGTTCATGAGGGTGATGACGGCCTGTCCCCACAGCAAGGCAGAGACTGGGACTTTGGGATTTACTTCCAGGACAGCTGAGCAAGCAAGAGTGATGGCCAGGAAGCAGCAAGTTTTCTCAGGGAAGAGTCAGCAAATCAAGAACACCAGGAGCAGAAACATCAGGGAGAACAGAGAAGCTGGGTGAACTGAGCACTACTGAAAACTTCCCTGGAAAGGTAAGAGTTGCAATTACTTTTCTCCCCTCCCTGCACTGAGTGAATAAGAGCCTACTCCCACCACATCTATGGCTGGCTTACATCAAGCACTTTCACTTTCTTCTGCTGGACTCTTGTCTGTCCTCCTTATTCAAGTGTTTCTGGCCTAGTTTTCAGAAGGCTGTGGACCCACATCTCCTGTGAGGGTAAAGAGATTTGCCATTTAATATCACATCTGAAACACCAGACAAACTAAGGGCTCATTTTTCAAGTCAGCTGCAATCCCAGGATGGAGGCTGTTTTCTAACAGCATGTGCTCTACT